GCAGTACTTTAAAGCATTGTTCATGTCCTCCGAGAAGACCTTAAAACGGAGGGGCGCCCAGTCAGACACAAAGGCAGTCGACACCTGCGTCCCGTCACGCTCCCGGTCCGGCAATTCACGCACAACTGCCCTCATCGGGGGGCCAGCCTTGCGAGAAATGCGGTCAAATATGCAGCGATGCTCAGCGGCGGCAAAAGAACCGGTGCAGCAGCAGAGCAGCAGCAGCAACAGGACGTACGGAGTGTGGCGCATTCCTCGTGTCTTTCCTTTGCGTGGCGTCTCGTTCCCTTCTTTCCTTCTGTGGTTTACTTGCTTATTGTGTCGTTATACTCCGATTCGTGTCTAGTGTGAGGTCAAGGACGCCAAAAAAAAAAAGAGATCGCGTCTGGCCCACCGACGAGCACACACACACACACACACGCAACCAAAAACAGCCAAGGCCAAGACGCGCCCGTAGCCACCCGCGTGCCCAGAGGCGCACCCGACGAAAAACAAGACAACCAACACTGTCGGCAGCGCGTCGCCGCCATTTCTGCTGCGTGAAGTGTTGCGCCCACGCACAACCCGGCCACCACCACCATCAACCAACAACAAGGAGAAGGCACTAACACCCGGCCACAAGCTTTGGCTTGTACAAGGCAACCAACGGCTCACATCCCAAACAAATCCTCGGTTTCCAAAGCAATATACGCAACCGTTGGCCCTACAGCTTACACAACATATATCACACAACTACACAACGGCAACTGATTCAACTAAAAAACGCAATTGTCAAACCAATACCACATCACACCACAAATAATTAAAAAAATAAACATACGAGAAAAAAAAATTATACTACTTAAAAAACTATATTCCCCAAACGCAATGCCCCTTTTGCGGTCGCACTCAGACTAAATGAAAGACATAATTAAACATGTGACAGTTTATAATAAAATCGTTTAAATAACACGATCAATCATGTTATAGTTTTAAATAAAGTCATTTAAAAAAAATATTTGACGGTCCGATGTGAAATCATTAAAGAGACGTAATTAACTATTCGAAGTCCATGTAAAGTTATTCCCTTTTTTTTTAATGTAAACGTTTTGCGTCTGTGCGTGACGCCCCACCACCCTCCAGAGGGAATTGGGTTGGCCCCTTTTTGAGACTTCGTGCGAGAATTTAGACGTCGAATCCGAGCCCCCTGCCGGAGTAGCCTCCCCTTAGAAAAGTGGGGGAGGCGGAGAAAGTGCGATTTGGATTTTTGAGGCACGCTGTGCCGAAAACGAGGGCGCGGAAGAAGCCGAAACAAAACAGGACAAACTATCAAAGCAACAAACTAAAGGCGCTCCACCTTCAGCAGGCCAGCGCCACCATCTTCTATGTCGCTGCCGGCCGTGGGCAAATCAGTGGCCGCGGAGACCGAACGGGTTGCAAAAGAACTGAGTCAGTGGCTGACCAAAGTGAAGCTCGGGCACCTCGAATCCCCCCAAAGCCAAATTTCGCACGCCGGGCCGCAAGGAACGCACAGCAAAATAAAATGTGACCCGGCGCCTCCCCACCCACGCCTCTTCCAAACCACGGCGCCTCTCCCCACCTTGAACCCTCCTTGTAAAATCCGCCGGCATCGATGTCTGGTGTTCGCTCCGCGACAGGGATGGAGAAGCAGTGCGGACGCCGCGCCTCTCGCCGAGAAAACCTCGACACGAGTTCCCCACCCCCCTCTTCCCGGCCAACGCAAACTAGTTCGATAGGACGCTGGCCCCGGGCGCGGCCGAACTGGCCCAGGCGAGACTTTCACCGTGCGCCACGCCCATACGCTTCCGCAGTGCGTCGCATGAGGCACCGGTCCTCCCGCGGAGGGCTCAGAGGCTGCGGGCGCCCGTATTCCCCGCCCTTCCTCTGCCCGGCGCCCCCTGCCACTGGGGCGCGGGTCTGGAAGCCTCCCTGGATGCCCGAAACGCCGACCGCCGAATGAGTGGCCCGAGAGCAGAGCAACCGCTTGGGCAGCGCCCGCCGCCCCCACACCACGCGCAGCCCACCCAGCACGTGATGCACCCGCAGGCGGTGGGGCATTT